ATAGAAGACATATTAATACTAGAAATAAATGACCTTATAATATCACAGTGTTGTTGTTGTTAGTGAGAAAATACAAGCTGTTGGTTGATTTATATTAACAACTTAATATCTTTATTCAATTTCTGTAGTGCATATTGGTGTATAGAAGACATATTAATACTAGAAATAAATGACCTTATAATATCACAATGTTGTTGTTAGTGAGAAAATACAAGCTGCTGGTTGATTTATATTAACAACTTAATATCTTTATTCAATTTCTGTAGTGCATATTGGTGTATAGAAGACATATTAATACTAGAAATAAATGACCTTATAATATCACAATTTTTTTGTTAGTGAGAAAATACAAGCTGTTGGTTGATTTATATTAACAACTTAATATCTTTATTCAATTTCTGTAGTGCATATTGGTGTATAGAAGACATATTAATACTAGAATATAAATGACCTTAACAACATTGTGATATTATAAGGTCATTTATTTCTAGTATTAATATGTCTTCTATACACCAATATGCACTACAGAAATTGAATAAAGATATTAAGTTGTTAATATAAATCAACCAGCAGCTTGTATTTTCTCACTAACAACAACAACATTGAAAGTGAAAATAAAATTATTGAAAAATTAATGGAAGTAATTATTTTACAAAAGAAAATTATATAGTATCTTCAATTCACCTTTTAAGGGATGAGTTTATTATCTATCAATGCTTTAAGATTTTCGTTTTAACTAACGACCTGATATAAACAATTTTGTTCCCTTTTTTTCCTTTAATGCATACATTTTACCAGGAACGTCAAAACTCAGTAAGTGACAAAACAGCAAAAAACGACGGTTTTGGTTGTTATAAATGTTGTGTCTTGTTGATAGAGCTGGTTTACTTCCCACTCGGCACTTGAAATTTCTGTATAGTTTGTTTTGGCTTCGGGCAGATGCTTGCTGCTACAGTGATTGTGTGTACTTAGTGGATAATTGTAAATCATTATGAACTTAGATGTGCACGGATGGCTTATCTTTTATTTTTTGCTAAGTGTTGCAAGTTTCCGAAAAAGGATTTATCAGAATATATGCATTTGAGCGAGTGAATAAAAAATGTTATCAAACAAAACAGCAACATTTATTCATTGCCTTATTTGATGAAAACTGGATATATTGCTTATACAGTTTTAAACTAAATTCACTTAAAATGAATAACAAGTGTTTATAATGCATTTTTGATGCATGTCATTTACAAAATAAGTGTCATTGTACAAATGGAAGTGGTTCTGGTAAGATGACATTCTTGATGGAACATTTTTGTTAAAAGTTGTAAATGATAATCAGAAAACTCTCAAGTGGCAATACTGCATACCGGTTTTTTGCTAGTGTAAGATTAGTTTTCTATTTAAGGATAAACAGATTTTTCTAAAGGAAGGGTTTGTGCCATGTTGAAGAAATATAACTACAGCTTTTTTTGATATCACAGAGAACTACACTGTCTGTAAGAGTTTATAAGATTGGAAACGAAGTTGAAATATACCGAACCTAATAAATAATTATGTTGCGTGTTCTGTACAAATAAAGGAACACGAGATGTGCTTGATGTTTTAAACGTGCTAAAATCACAGTTTCTCCTTAGAATGTTTGAGTTTATTTACACACACTCTTCGTTTAGTGTAGGCTGTTCTGTTGTAATCGAAGGAAAAGTGATCGATTAACAAGTAACCTACGTGAAGAGCTTGTATATGTAGAGAAGCATTTGAAATATCCAGTAGTAGTTACTTGCTCACATACTAGATATTCAATTAGTGGCATATGAAATTTCTTTGTTGACTAGCCAAAAAGAATTCTTAAAGCTTTCTGTCAAATAAAAAAGACAATGTTGATGATTGTTTCATACCAGGCTTCAATCAAAAAGTGTGTGCATATTGGAAATGTCTCTTTTAATTTGTGGTTTCTGTTTCCTTGATTAAGGAGTATCCGTGTATGTGGTGATAAGTTTGACCTCAGAAAGCATGAACTCGCATTATCCTTGATGGCTTCTCTCTACACCACCATGATTTTTCAAAATACTGTCCTTACAACTGTTTCAAATGTGCATCATCATTTTTGAAAATTGTAACTTTACAGGTGGTCAAACTTTGCACCAAAAATATTTCAAAATCCTAATCTCACAGGTGTTCAAAATGTGCAACATAGTTTTTCAAAATTCTTCGCTTAAACTGTTTCCAATGCTCAAGTTGATAATATGACACAACATCATAACTGGATCACTGCGATATTTTCTGCGAGGTTACTGACGTTCCAAGTAATTATAGTAACAAAAGAAAAAGAAATCAGGGAAACACAAACATGATTTTGAAAAAAAATATACTAAGGGTGGGACTTAGAGTTATCATGGTGGTGTGCAATTTTTGCATTATTTTCTTGAATTTTTTTATTAATATTACCATACCTTATGGCATGTGCTAGAACATGTGCATCATGTGACTGCTTTTTCTGAAGCATGTTATTATTTACAGTAAGTTACAAAGCACTTTTACTTTGTGTTATATGTTACTAGTAGTTATGAACTAGTTATAATGGAATCTGTATCTAATGGAGATCTTGCATTAAAAAAAAAGTAAGTTCTACTGACAACTTGATTTTAACTAGTTAAAAGTAACCAAATTTTATCATATGATTGATCAATTAGTAGTTTTTGAAATTTGGTATTAGATTATTACAATGACTATGTACAACAGTACTGTTAAATCATCTTCCTAGTACTAGTTTTTACAGTGTGTTAAAAATCTCTGTGATCAAACATATGGCATCAGTTTAATACTCTTTGACTAAACTTTAACCTGACATTTTGCGAGCAAAGAAAAATTAAACGAGCATTAGATTGGCCCATCTATTTATGGACCACGACAGAACACAGTGCTGGATAATCTTAACCAGCTGAAACATAACTGTTGGTAGTTTTCAGATATTTGAGAATTGGTTTATGGCTTGTATGTTATTAGGATATTTTCACGGATGGATCACAAATACAACAATAGGGGTTGAGTTAATTTAAGAAAAACTGACCTGACTGTAAAATTGTTTCAAAATGGAAATTAGACAAATGTTAAATGATCGTTTTAAACAGCTATGTAAAGTGACAAAACAAACATTTTTATTTATATTTGCATTAATGTTTTTCAATTTTCTCTTAGGTGGTCGTTACAAGAGTTGGAAGCGACGATGGTTCATTCTAAATGATAACTGTTTGTATTATTTTGAATACACCACTGTAAGTATATTCAGTAAAGTTTGAATGATGTATGTGTAGAATGAAACTTGTTTTATAAGTGGCCTTGAGATTATGATTTAAATAGAAACTATTAAAATGTTTTGTAAGGACATTACTTTTAAATATTTCTCTGTTATCTTTTAAAAATGTAAACTTTTAACTAGGCTTCCATGATTCCAGAGGTTTACGATATTTGTTAGTAATAAAAGAAAGAAAGTTTTTGTTACGGAAACACCCTTACTTATCGACTACTGTCTTGCATGATAATTCAACTAAAAGCAACTGTTTCAGGATTCAACTTGTTTTGTATCTAGCTTTAGAAACTGTTCATCAGTCTTGGAAAAACTCTTAAATAACTAGAATCCATGGTATAACATTATCTTATTATTAAATGGAGATAAATCCGAGCGTATTCCAAGAGTTATGCACATTGAGAGAAGTAAAAAAAAAACATATTGTTGGATCTAGATAGGCATATAGTGTATTGGCTTTCACTCTTTCTGGTTTTGTACAACTCACTTCTTAGGATAAAGAGCCACGGGGAATTATACCCTTGGAAAATGTCCAGGTGCGTGAGGTTGTAGACCGGAATAGGGCCAATAGTTTTGAGCTCTTTTCGACAGGGAGCGACATCATTAAAGCATGTAAGACAGACTCAGAAGGGAAGGTCGTTGAAGGAAAACACACAGTGTATCGCATGTCAGCATCTACTCCTGAAGAGATGGCAGATTGGATCAAGTGTATCAAGTAGGTTTTTAAGCTATTTACCCATAATACTTATCCACAAAGATTAAGTTATAGCTCTCTCCAGACTAATGTAGTTTAAACATTTACATACCCACACCCAGAGAAAGCTGCAAGAGAATAAGTTATACCTACATCTTTAAACAAACATAGCTTGAACCTGTACATACCATCCAGAAAAGACTAGGAGAGAATAAGCTATACCTACCTCTATAAACTAACATAGCTTGAACCTGTACATACCTTCCAGAAAAGACTAGGAGAGAATAAGCTATACCTACCTCTATAAACTAACATAGCTTGAACCTGTACATACCGTCCAGAGAAGACTAGGAGAGAATAAGCTATACCTACCTCTATAAACTAACATAGCTTGAACCTGTACATACCGTCCAGAGAAGACTAGGAGAGAATAAGCTATA